GGTATGTGCCCTGACCGGGAATCAAACCCTGCCACCTTTCGGTATTTGCAGCAATGCTTCAACCAACTGAACCACACCAGCCAGGGCTCATTCTCGAGTTCTAGCTGCAGTTGTGAGCTCGAGACCTAAAGCAAGGCTCCGGGCAGGGGATGCAGGGAAGCACAGACCGGACCGTGAGAATCAGGGTGGACCAGTCCTACTGGCTCCAGATTAAGGAGGGAGCCCAGCCTTTGGAAGAGCAAATGCCAGGGCTCCCTCAGAAGCCCAGAGGCCAGGCTGCTTCCAGGGCCCAAGCCTGGAAATGGACAAAGGCGGGGGTGCGGCCTGTCATATCTCCTCAGGACAAATGGAAAACACTCAGTCAACAGTCTGAGCAGTCTAGGCTAGGAGGGGCTCACCTGGCCCGCACAGCCAACCCGCCAACCTGAGGCCCAGGGCTGGGTCAGGTTAATTAGGCACCGGAGCCCTGTTAATTAGCCTGCATCAGCCAGGACTCCAATTTCTGCCTCCCACCTTCCAACACAGGTGCCTGAGTTGGTGAGCTCCCAGGCAGCCAGGCCAGGAACAAGCCGGGGACTGAGGAAGCAGCAGTGGGTTGTCCTCTGGGATGTGGATTTTTATTCATTTGAATTGCTGATCTAAGAAAACAATGATTCGTCTGAAGGAAGAGTGGCGCAGTTGACAACTGTAGCTTCAGAGGACATCATCCTCAGGCCTGCAGCCATGGAGCAAGGCCGGTGGTCTAGCAGGTGGAAGCATATGAAATTGCTTAGTTACCTATTTTTTTTTTTTTTTACCTACAACCACTTCCCCCCTCCCCCAACACGTATATAATTTTCTCCAAAGAGAAGCAGTCCAGCAAGGTGAGACTTATCAGCGTTGGACCGGAGGCTCCAGGACCACACATTTTAAAGTTAGAAGGGTAGCCGAAACCAGTTTGGCTCAGTGGATAGTGTTGGCCTGCAGACTAAAAGGTCCCAGGTTCGATTCCGGTCAAGGGCATGTACCTTGGTTGCGGGCACATTCCCAGTGGGAGATGTGCAGGAGGCAGCTGATCGATGTTTCTCTCTCATCGATGTTTCTAACTCTCTCCCTTCCTCTCTGTAAAAAATCAATAAAATATATTTTAAAAAAAATAAAGTTAGAAGGGCTTCGTGCTTCGGTAGGGGCAGCACTGTCCTCAGCTCATGGCTGGGCTGAGGCACGGACAGGAAGAAACATCTGCAACCTCACGCACCTAGTGTATGGGCAGCTCAGATCTCCACATTCCTGCAGCTCCCCTGGCCTCCCTCACTTCCCATCACAACCCCCATGAGCTGCAGGCTGTTCTCACCTCTGACCCAGGGGTGCAGTCTCTGACAGAGGCCTCGGGAAAAGCCCGGCCTCCCCCGCCCCACGAAAACTTGGCACCTGCTTCTTCCCCCAATCCTTCAAGAGGCAATAATGCACAACCCATGGACACTGCCTAGGGGCGGTGGGGGGGGGGCAGGGGCAGGTACAGGGTGAAGGGAGTCAATGGGGAAAAAAGGGGACATCTGCATACTTTCAACAATAAAGATAATTTTTTAAAAAATGGCAATGGAGTGTTTCTGACCTGCCTGAGGATGCTACACACCTGAGTCAAAGGCTTAATGAACGGAAAAGGTCCCGTTCTGCGCTGAGGGGCCTGCCAGAAGTGAACCATTCACAGCCATCCAGTCTTCAGTACCCACTGCCCTGTGCGTTGTTAACAGCAAGCTTGAAGATTAGGGGTGCTCAGGAGGTGTCTCCCTCCTTGCAGGGGAGGGAGGGGGCCCAATGTGGGGGCTGTGGAGCAAGAATGTTGACAAGAAGTCAGGCCTTGCCCAGCTGGCCGGCCTAGCTCAGTGGTTGAACATCAACTTATAAACCAGGAGGTCACGGTTCGATTCCTAGTTGGGGCACAGGCCCGGATTTTGAGCTCAATCCCCAGTGTGTGGTGTGCAGGGGGCAGCCGATCAATGATTCTCTCTCATCATTGATGTTTCTATCTCTCTTTCCCTCTCCCTTCCTCTCTGAAATCAATAAAAAAACAAATCAGGCCTCGCTGCCCTTCGGTGCCCCACCACGTCCCTGAGCAATCGTGGTCTGAGGGAAAAGGGCTGTGTGAGGAAGCCCATACCATGACACATGTCCCACAGGCCAGCTGACCCTGTCCTGAAGGTTCTTCCAGGATTTGGCCTGATTCCAGTCTCTGAACAAATAAGACTCTGGGAGGGACTCCAAGAAATCAGAGACCCCACGCTGTCATTCCGATGCTGCCCCCGGCCACTTCCTCCTCTGGGAGACTCTAGTGGTGGAGACGATCAGCCAGGCACGGTACGTGGGGGAATTTGGAAGGAGGCTTGTAAACATCAGGTGCTACATAAATGCAGGAGAAGAGCACGGGCCTGACCATGGGCCCCGTTAGTCACGCAAAGCCAACCTCCAATCACTCCTCTTCCAGAAGACAAAGGAGGAGATGGCAGGCAAGTCCCTAGAAGGAAAGGGTGAGAACCAACCACACTGCCAACCTCAGCAGTCCGTCCTCACTGACCTGCTGATACTGTGCTCACTGCCCTTGGGAGGGAAGCAGGGGACGGCGGCCTTTGCAGGAAGGAAATCGGAGAGTGAAGAGACAAGCCCGAGGTCAGACGGCAGAAGCAGAGTGAGGAACAGCGCCAACGTGTTCAGGGCTCAGAGCCTGGTGCCCGACTCAGAAATCCACCCAAGCAGCTTTTTTCATTTCTCTTCACTTGAACCTTTGTCTTCAAGCATTTCCCCTTCTCTACCAGCAAGGGCATCACATGTAGAAGGAAAGTGATGTCATTTTGTACTAGGTCAGGAGGAAAAGTTAGCATTATTCCGAGTCATGCAAATATAAGGTAGCACCATCATCATCGTCATCATCATCGACAACCAAACCCTCAGGATACTAAAGGATGGGAAGTTAAGAGCATATACCAACGTCTCTTAGAAATAACATATGAGGATATCTAGGACATCTACTCAGCCCCAGCAGTGGCCTGGATGCCCCAGGCGGTACATGAAAGATAATCTGTTTAGCATCAGTGGAAGGAGCCAGCAGATCTAAGGATAAGGGGCAGAGAACAGGGTCTCTTTCCTATCAGCATCGTCCATGCAGTGAGCACCGGCCAAGAGTAAGGGCAAGTCTCTGAGGAGAGAGAAAAGGGGAAAGGGAGGCTATTGCTGTCGCAGAGGAAGCCTGGTCCCCAGGTTCAAGGCCTGAGCCTGACCATGACCACAGAGGCCAGGGAACCTGAATAGACAGAAAGTACCTCAAACTTGCTGCCCTATAGGATCCTTATCCCAGGGGCCCATCAGAGAGAGAAGGTAACTCCTTCATCATCATGGAAACTCACAGAAGCATTTTCAGAATAACCCCGCTTCTGCCTCTGGCAGTTACAGTTCTCCCCTCAGCAGAGACCCAGCCATCTGGCTCCCTCCTGGATGGAGGAGTAAGAGCGGGGTTCAGCTGTCACTCAATGGCAAGTGACCGTCATTCGGTTTATGCTATGTCGGTTACACTTCCAAGAAAGATGGCTACCACCTAACAAAATGGCAAAAGGTAGAACATGAGCAAAGGAAACATCCCTGCCTCACACCACAGAGCACCACCCAGAGTCAGCATGGTTTGGATCACGCTGCAGGCTGCACCCCCTCTCCCCCCGAGAGCCGTTTAGTGGCTTACAGGTATGTTAGTGGCTTACAGGTATGTTAGTGGCTTACAGATGTGTTAGTGGCTGGGACTGGAGCTATGCAGAGTTCAGGGAGGGGCACAGAACAGACCACCAGGAATGAAGAGGAGTCCTGGCTGGACTCACAGTTTATCCCTCCTAGCTAAGGAGTGGGGAATCAGGCAAAAATAATCTCCTACATGTAGGCTTCACTAAACAAAGACAAAGAGAGGATGAGATGCAACAACAAACCCTGGGCCACAAAACCAATAGTGCCTCCCCAGCCAAGACTAGGTGGGGCCCTTGAACCAAAGTGCCAGTGGGCTCATAAAACAAGGAACGATTTGAAAGCCATCCCCACGGCAGGATGTCTGTCACAGGTGCAGAGAGAGAGCAGTGATCATATCTATCACTTGGACCTGCTTCACCGCTCTCCCCGTTCTGACATTCAGGCAGCAAGAGCAAGGAGCCTGCAGGCTGGCCACCAACATCTCCAGAGGAACGTTCCACGATAAAAGGCGGTGGAGCAACACACAGTCTTGAGGGGCGAGGAGCAGGACCTAAGGGCTCTACTCCCAATCACGCTGTTTTCCCCACTCAGAGACAACTGTTCCCACGGACGCAGGAGGCCTCACTGATGCAGGAGGCCTCAGAGTGAGTGGAGTAGTGAAGATGTGCAAGAGAAAGCTCCAGAAGAAGCTCAACATTCAAGTCAAGGAATCAAATTCCAGAAAAGTCAGGGTTGGCCACTGTTGTCCTTCCTACCTGGCTCCAGAGTCCAGCATTGGGGCCATCTGTGCACAGAGACAAGAGCCTTGGCCAGTGGCCAGTGCCGGGACTTGGAGGTTACTGTACATCGGTGGCTCACGGAGCACCTTACAATCATCGCCGCCGCACTCATCCATTCACGGAAGGTACTACAAGGGCTCTGTTTTACTTCACGGGCATTTCAGAGTGGATGGCCTGGCTGAGAAGGAACACCCTTGCCCAGTTCCAAACCCCAGTGTCGAGGATCCCCCACCCCCACCCCCACCCCATATGCTATTCTGGTGCAATGCAGAGATATCTACCAACCAAATACGGAACCCAACGTCCACTATTTCCAGGGACTGGAGGAAAGCTCGCGGGAAGGGAATGACACATAAAGATCAGACAACAAAAGGGACAAACGGAGGAACTTGGTCTCTGGCATCCCAAGAAATTGGTCATGGGATGAGCTTATGTTTGTATCGGAACCTGGCCTGACCATGTCTGGACCCCAGGGAGGAGATGGGTGCCAAAAGGAACAAGGACGGACAGACTCCGTTACCCTCTTTACTGCAGCTAACTGTATTTTCCCTAACACCCTCCCCGCCCCAGTTCTCACTGAGGCAGCTCCCCGACCACGGGCAGGCTCAAATAAATAGGTGGGCACCTGGAAGTGCAGGGAGGTAGTGCCGGGTCCACCCGCCCCCCAGCTGGCATGGAAGGGCTTAGGACACAGAAAAGCTCACATCAAACAAGATTCTGATTCATGGGTGTTGGGGAAGAATGTGGAAGAGAAATAAAATCCATCACAGAACATCCAATACTGATGCTTGGGAAGGCTGAACTCAGGGCTAACAGAAGGCCCCCAGGACAGGCCCTGGGCATACCCAGGGGGCTGAGGAGAGGGAGCAGCAGACAGATTTGGCTGAGTGACGCCGCAGGGTCACCCTAAAGGCGAGGAAGACTGTGGAGGGTGGGGGACATGCACGTACCCCCCTCCCCTACAGCCAGAGCTGATAGCCACAGCCCCTCCAGTGGACACAGGTAAAAGGCCCTGCAGGGCCAGGGACCCTCTGAAGTGGCTCTGCTTCCATCCCTTCCGTCTTCAAAGTGCATTATCAGTGCAAGAAGTGGGACTGGATCTCAGGGGTCCAACTCTGAGAAAGGGCTGTGCCAGCCAGCTCCCCCATCTCCTCCTGCGTCCCCCTCGCCCACCCTGAGCCTTTCCATGCTAAGACCAGAACTCTTGCTGGATCTCATAAGGGGCAGGCCTGTGTGCGCTCAGTTCAGCTCTACACAGTGGCACAGTGCTGTCCTGACTCTGGCCCTCTGCGTCCAGGTCCAACAGCGTCCGCTCGGTGGGGGGCAGCGGCCCCGCCTGGAACGGGAGCAGGGCTGGGAGCCCAGGCCGCTCCTCCAAAGTGCTGCTGCTGCTAGCAAGGCAGGAGTCCAGGTTGCTGGGTGTCTCTGTGCTGGAGCTGTTGGCCGGGGAGGCGCTACGGGCGTGGCTGGGGGACACAAACCACCAGGGGTCCAGCCGGTGCCGGTTGGCAGAAGGACGCGGCCGAGGCAGGAACTCCAGGGTCTTGGGTCTCTCCAAGGTAGAGTCCTGCTGTGTGTTCCAGCGCCTCGGGGTTGGGGGGAAAACTACATTGGGGTCAGGGAGACGGGGGAATTCACCTGGGTCTCGGCTGGGGCTGGGGGTTTTCAACATTCCTGGTCAAAAAGACAAAGGGAGAGGCATCAGATGAGGGTCCCTTGTTTCTGGGCCAGGTACACTCTGCTCCATCCCCACCTTGCCAAGGGATAACACAAACAACAAGTAGTTAATGAGCACCTACTATGTGCCATGCAGTGTGTTGGGAGGCACTGGAAAATACAACAGTGAACTAGAAGACCATGGTCACGATATCTGACAACAGTAATGGGACATATGGGGGTTATATCTATAATAAAATGACTTACGGCAGATGCTGGCAAACTACAACTCACAGGCCAGCCACCTGTTTGTAAATACAGTGGGGCCTTGACTTACGAGTTTAATTCGTTCCGTGATGGAGCTCGTAACTCAAATTACTCGTATGTCAAATCAACAGTGAACGAGTGAGACACGTGATGCTGGGCTGATGTTGTGGCGTTCACTGTGACGTTCGCTGTGTCAACTAGCGGTGGGGTATCTGAAGCTGGTAATCCGAATTTTAGCTCGCAACTCAAAGCAAAAATCGGCCGAGAGACGGCTCGTATCTCGAAAAACTCGTTAGTCGGGACACTCGTAAGTTAAGGCCCCACTGTAAAGTTTTATTGGAACAGAGGCACACCTACTGCCTGCTCTCCCACTGCAGCAGCGGAGGTGAGCAGTTACAACAGAAACTGTATGTCCCACCAAGCCTAAAATACTGACCATCTGGCCCTTTACCAAAAATGTTTGCGGACCCATGGCTTAAGGAAATGTCTGTTCATTCCTAGTTCATCCATTTAATAAACATGTGATGAGGACAAAGCTAGGCATCAGAAATCTAAAAAAAGGGAGTAATATAGGGAGAGGTCACATTTATGTTTAACAAAAAAATCTTGCCCTAACCGGTTTGGCTCAGTGGATAGAGCGTCAGCCTGCAGACTCAAGGGTCCCAGGTTCGATTCCCGGTCAAGGGCATGTACCTTGGTTGCGGGCACATCCCCAGTGGGGGGTGTGCAGGAGGCAGCTGATCCATGTTTCTCTCTCATCGATGTTTCTAACTCTCTATCCCTCTCCCTTCCTCTCTGTAAATAATCAATAAAATATATTTTAAAAATAATAATAAAAAAAATAAAGGATGAGCTCCTTTATTAAAAAAAAAAATCTAAAGAGGGGAGAGACAGCTGAATGGGCAGATACAATGATCGTTTACAGGCAAATCCCCTTGAAAAGTACTGCATCGCGTCTCCTACTGGATTAGAGGCGGCTTCCAAGTCAGACCCAGGTCTTCTAGGGAGGAAGGGCTAGTGATGGGAAAGACCCAGGAAGGGTGCAGGCATGCCCAGGTGTCACCGGTGTCAGATGGAGAAGGCAGGCCTCTGCGCAAGCACAGCAATTTACCTGGACACACCTCCACTTCCGAAGAGTCAGGCATGAGTCAGGGGTGAGTGGTGAAGGGCAGGAGGCCTGGGCGGAGGCTTGCCTGATGAGTGTGCCTGTCCTAATGCTATAATGAGGCGAGAGCACAGCTACGCGGCAAGAAACACCTGTCCTAGGTCAGGGCAGGCTCCTGCCGGTAACTGCAATCTCTTCTGCAGGGAACAAGCAGAGCCAGGCTCCCGCCCCCCTGTGCCCTGACGCTGGCCCTCGGCATCCATGCCCAGAGCACTGCCCTGTGCTCTCCCAGGCCCAGGGCCCCAGCGTACTCAGGAGCCCAAGTCCCGGCTCTGGTCCTTCCTAGAACCTGCCTCTCTTGCTCCTCAGGGAAGACCCCCTGAGGCACAGGACAGATCAGCCATCTGGATTGGCTGAGTCAGAGGAGGAATGGAGTTCACTCTAACATCCCTACCCTTGGGGAAGGCACAAAGGCAGGAAAGAGAAGAGAGGAGGGGGCAGGACTCACCTGCTCCAGGGCTGGGGCTCAGCCCATTGCTGGAGGGGCTCCTGCTGGCCAGGAGAGCCGCTGGCTTGAGGGCCCCCTCAGAAGGGGTCCGTCGGTGACCACTGGGCTGCGTGGGGGCTGTGAGGGTGACGTGGGTTGGAGTCAGAGATTGGTGAGGGTCCCGTTTGAAGCGCTCCACTCGGATGTTGACCAAGGGGTTGTGGGTGCAAGGGGTCGGGGGTGGGGCCTCCACCGGGCTGACAGGCATCTCATACACCACGATCTCATCGCTGTCCGAACGCAGCAGGGAGCGTGTGGAGTTGCACTCGGAGATGGAGGAGAGAGACAGCAGTGTGAGGGAGGCAGAGGGGTCTCCTAGCAACAGCATGGGCTCTTCCTTCTTGAAGAGCTTCCGGGATGGGGGGCTGGTGCTCCGTCGAGGACGACTGGCCCTCTGAAAAAGTCCCTCGCGCCTCTTCTTCTCCTCCCGGGCTGGTGGCTCAGGCTCCTCTGGGAGAGGCAGCTGGCACTTGCCAGCTTCCAGCAGGTCAAACCCTAGGCCTGTGGCTGCGAGAACAGCCCCACAGCCAAGCAGAGCCACCTCACAGCGGCGGTGGTGGGCGCCGCCCCGCTTGAGGCTGTTGGTTGGCGTCAGCTGAGGGGTACTGGTGGCTGAGTTGACTGGGGTGGGCTCCTCGTGGGCTGTGTCACTGGGGGGGCCATCCCCATCCTCTCCACGAGGGAATGGGATACAGAGGTAGGACTGGTTGGGTGAATGCTGTAGACGACTTTCCCCACTCCCTGGGCCTTCGCTGTCCTCATCCTCTGTGAAGTTGAGAGTAGACGGGAAATAGAAAATGCGTTATTACAAAGAGTTAAAATAAAATGCTTATGTAAATAAAGCAGTTCTAAATAGAAATTTTGGAGAAATGTTAATGAAAGTACGTAATGAAACGAGGGCCAGCTAAGTTGGTATGGCCAAGTAATTGGCCTGGGTTTAGGACCTATGTATAGAGGCCACCAATTTATTTAAATAGCTCTGGTTTATTATGTTATGTTTTTGAAGAAAACAAGAATTGCTTCACAAAGAAATGAATAGCCATGAATATAATATGCTGTTTACATAGAAGTCTTTACAAATTTTATACATCTATGAATGCTCATATTTGAGTTTGAGTTTGTCATCAATTAAATTGTAGTTATATTTGAGACACACTGTAACAGAATCTATAAATAAAAGGCATCAGAAAAAATAAGAAAAAAAGAAAATGGGAATGCAGCAGCAACAGTAAGATTCTGGTCCTTCTCCCCCACCCAGGCCTCCTGGCTCAGTGTCAGGGATGCAGAGGTCATATAGTCAGCTGGGCGAGATGGGGGACTGGGCATTGAACCAACAGGGCTTTACCCCTCCACACTCAACTGTGACCAGCGAGAAATCACTCTCCATTCCAGAGCCTGTGTCCCTACTTGCAGAAGCAGATCTGCCAATTTCCTACTTCTTTCCTAGGGACCCTCAACACAAGAAGAGTAGCGAGTTTCCTAGAACAATGGATAGACAGAAACATCCCTAATTTTTTTGCACTTTGGAATTGCAAGGGACCTTGGGTTTCTAGAATGACAGCCTAGAGATTTGTCTTAAGACTGGACTCTTGCAAAGGATTAGAATCCCCTCCATGGGTGAAGGCCAACCTACTCTATAGACTGACCTATGACCTTGGGAATCTACAGAGATAAATAAGAGGATGACTCTCTGAGAGAGAGCCTGGAGAAGACCTTACCCATTCAGTAATCTCCCTTAAGAGGAAGACTGCGGCAGCCTCTACCACCATCTCTTGTTTTATGGACATCCTACACTAAAATAAGAGGAAATAGACCCAGAAAAGGGAAATGCCTGATTTAAGGCCTCAGCCTTCTGCACTGCCTTAAGGAGACCCTGACTGGCCCCTTGGGACAGAAGGCCAAGGGCAGGCTCCATGGCAGCAGTAGTGATTTGGGAAGATTCAATGAAATGGGAATAGGGCAAACGAAGAGGGACGAGGGTGGGGGGCCATGATTTGAGTAAAAGAGGGGACGACCCCATGAAGTAATACTGAGGACCCTACACAGCCCTAGAAGCTTGGCAAGAATCCCCTGGGGGAACAGGGAGAGGGTCTAGACAAGGGCAATGCTTACCCATCTCCGTAAGGCTGGTGAACCCCGGCAGGGCCGGGCTGCTCCGAGGGCCCTTCCCCAGGTTGGGGGCACTGGACGACCACTGTTTGTATCCATCTACCAGGGACTTGAGGCTACAGAAGGGGAAAGGAGGAAACTATTAATACTGGTTACTGCCCTTACTCCACCCTCAGTTCCATGGGCCTGTGGAAATGTGTCTCCCTTCATGACACCAGAGCCCGATAGAGCCTTGGGGAACAGGCAACAAACCTTACTGAGCCCACCTGCTTCATTAACAAAAGCGCACATGCTGCAGGGAGAGAAAAGCAGCGGCGTGACCCACCCCCTTCACATGCTGCTAAGGGCTGTGGAAGGATCTGATGGGCGGGCCGGGAAGAGGACAGAAGGAATAAGGACTGCCCAGCACCGGCCAGGATCTACCCTGAGCCCATCTTAAGGGAGAGGCCATCCATCCACAGACACTGAATACAACACACGGGTGACATCAGAAACACTGCAATGCCATGCCAGCCAGGCCCTGGGCAGAGGAGCGGGCAGAGACGGACAGGTGGCTCCACTCACATCATTTCTCAATTCCTCCTTCCAAGCTTATGGCATGCTCAGGCAACTGTCAAAGCCATTCACTTCCCCAAATCAAAAACCAACCAACACAGCTGCACCAACCCAGTGCACTTTGGGACAGACCTATGTGGGGAGGACGTAACGCTGTATGCGAGCCCTCGGTTTGTCTGGGACTGGAGAGCAAAAGGACAGGAGCTCGCTTTCATCCCTGGAATCAGCTCACACTAGCAAGCAAGCAACTCCAGACACAGACTGATAGGTGTGCGTGTGCGTGTGCGTGTGCGTGTGCGTGTGCGTGTGTGTGTGTGTCTCAGGGGCGGGGGGGGGGGGCGGTCAGGGGCCCAGAAGCACTGGCCTTTCCCTTGAGGACAATGAGAGGAAGGACAGGAATCTGTGCTGTGGTTGCCCTAGAGATACCAGGATTAGAACCTGAGGTGGCTCTCATTTTGGGGCTAGAAAGCCATTCAACGGAAGCCCACTCTTCCCAGCTTATCTTGAGGGACAGAGAAGAACCAAGTTTTTCCACGACTTCAGATCTGTTTCAAGTGCCATCACAAATACCAATGAACTAGAATACATTCTAGCCACCAGTGGTGTGACCCAAAATACACCACAAGAGATAAGCAAGCTGCTAGAACCCCTAGCCTGGGACTTCTGCCCGCTAACCTTAGAACAACACTGCCTCCAGCTCTGGGTCCAAGGAAATCCAGGTTAGCCTAGTCAGAGCCAGTGCTGAAGACCAAAGGGTACATACTACGGTCTCCCTAAAACTAAGGGTACCAGGAGAACCCCAATAACCAGAGTGATCAGGGAAGTGAAGAACAAGGTAAAGTCAGACCAACACAGGAATTTTCCCAAGGTGCACGATGGTACTGCTTAAAAAAATAAATAAATAAAAGGTCAGCACAGCTTGGCAATACGAGGCTGGATTCTATGAGGTGCACTGTGAGAACAAGGAAATGGAAGGAGGGTTATTGCTAATACATTTGAAAGGGTGACGATGAGACTCACCCCAAGTGGAAATGTGGAGATTCTGATGGGGTACTTAACCCATTAGCTTTCTCACGTCTCTGAGGGGATCTTCAATGAACACAGAGAATCAATAGTGGGTGGAGCAGGTATATCCAGCTCAGCCTCTCCCAGAGGAGACCCCTCAAGGCTGGACTCGAGCTACGTCACCAGCCACCCTCCCCTTGTCCGGTCAGCAAAGCCCACACCATAAAAGGATCTTATGAAGATGGCCCAGCTTGAGCTGCTACACATCAGGACCACCCAGTCCCTGGGACAAAGGTCCCTGGGCAGCCACAGCATCGTTCTATGGGGCCTGCAAACTCCCCTACAAATGTGGACTATTATATTTTTAAAATATAGAGATGCAGATTCACTTAACATTACTAAATTCAATATAGCTTATGGCTATATATTTTCTTCAGCTGACAGGGACCAAATTTAGAAATATTGTCATATAGAGGCTCTCAAAAATTGCTGACATTAAAGAGGTTTTTTTAATTCAAGACTGGGTAGAATCCATTTTATTTCTTAGATAGGAATTGAGAATCATGAAAAATGAAGTCACATATTTTGAACTGCTTCAAAAGTCTTGAGGGCAGCCCTGGCCGGGTAGTTCAGCTGGTCAGATTGTGCTCACCATACGCCAAGGTTACAGGTTCAATCTCCAGTTGGGGCATATACAAGAATCAACCACTGAATGCATAAATAAGTAGAAAAACAAATCGATGCTTCTCTCTCTTTCTCTCCTCTCCCCTTCTAAAAAGCAAAACAAAACAAAAAACTAGCCAGGTGGCTCAATTTGTTGGAGTGTCATCCCATACACCAAAAAAAAGTCGCAGGTTCGATTCCTGGTCAGGACACATACCTTGGTTGCAGGATCGATCCCCGGTTGGGGCACATACAGGAGGCAACTGATCAATGTTTCTCTCCACATCGATGTAACTCCCCACCCCCTCTTCCTCTCTCTCTCTCAAATATCAATGAAGGCATATCCTCGAATGAGGATTGGGAAAAAAAAATCGTTAAAAAGAAAGTTTTGTGGGCAAATGTATATAAGGAGGAAGAAAATCCCAAAGTTAATATTTTATACTGCAAAGTAAACTTAATTTATTAGCAAGACCAAAAAAAAAATCTTTAAATGAAGCCAAACAACAGAAACAAATGGGATCCTTAGCCAACCTGATAAGTCCTATCTGTAATCACACTGTCGGAAATATCATGGGATTCAGAGTGACTGCGTTTATTCTCTCCAGCCCAGGGCACAGAGGACAGACTAAGGGCTCCTGCTCCTGTAGAACTTAGTGCAGCAGAGCAATGTGCCATCCCAGGGGATCCACACAGCTTAGGTAGTTTGCCCTAAATTTTCTATCCCAGGGTAGCTAGCAAGCTCCAAAGCCTGGCTTCAAATAGTCAATCCTTTACGAACCAAAGTATTTTCACATTCAGCTCAGATCTGACATAGCAAGCTAGATTTTTGACACGAAATCTTCGTGTTTGGAGGAACATGAAGGCCAATTATAGGTTGAGGGCACCTAGAAGTCTACTATTCAACCTTAGAAGCTCTTCGGAAAGCCACTAAAAAGGGTGAGGCAGGTTGCTGCTTATACTCACACTAGGAAAAGTAAAAACAAAACATGGTTCTAGATTCTCACACCAAGAATAAGAAGTATAAACCACTGTGTTTGTTCTTCAGGTATGAAATAGAATTGGATTAAAGCATGGGAGAAGCATAGCAAATTTTACACCTGCTTACGATGAGCCAGCTAATCTTCTCTGCACTTCACAAAGATCAGCTTATTTACTCCTCCATCAACTCCATGAGACGGGTATGGGTATAATCCCCATTTTATGGATAAGAAAACATAAGTTTCCACAGGCATGGTGGAGCCAGGATTCGAACCCAGGGAGCTCAGGGGCAGCATCCAAGCTCTTCACTAGTGTACTACAAATGCCTGGCCTCTGAAGGACAAGAACCGGGAGAATGTGAGTCCTAGGCCACAAGCCCACAGAGCACACACAAGCACATCTAAGGCACCAAGGCGTGCTTTGTGCTTTGCCCAGAGGGGGCGCTCACACCCATCAGAGTGGCTATGGGGTGGGGCCTAAAAGAAGTTCTAGTGGCCCTGAGTTCTACCTAACTGCTCTACCAGGACTGGTTTATTCTGCCTGCCCCACCTTCGGGATGAGTCTCCAGTCAAGAGGGCCCCCTAATCCATCTTCCTTCTTTCCTCTGAGCAGATGTGTTGGGGAAGAGCCAGGTTTAATTACAATATTCTAGCAGAACTCTGTCCACCTGGCTCAGCCTCAGGGTACTCGCTACTCTGAGTAGCACTCCTCTGGCGGTCGATGAACTATCACTCATGGTCTACCTCCTGCCCACTACCTCTTCTTCACTTACGTCTCGTCCATGCTCTGTGGCTGCTTCTGCACTACCACAATAAAACTGAGCCATTACCATAGACACCACACGGCCCACAAAGCCTAAAATATTTATTATCTGGCCCTTTATGGAAAACGTATGCCAGCCCCTATCATAGGTGGTTCCAGGGAAAAAGGAAATTGGCAAACTCTGTTGTAAAGATCGAGAAGCTCATAATTTCTGAGGAAGAAGTGAAACGCACAATAGAGAAAAAGGTACTTCCCACCGTAATTTTAAAAGGTGCCCCATCTTCAAATGAGAATCTCCCATCATCTGGCTCTTACCCTTCGTCGCCCGAGGCAAGCTCCTTCTGACCCAGTGTCCCTGGCCCCCACGTCCGTCCCTTCTTCTTGGAAGCCCTCTTCTCCTCCTCCTCTCCTTCCTCCTTTGGGATGACTGAGCTCCGGCCCCAGGTTTTGCTGCTTTCACCTGGTGTCACTGTGAATAACAAAGGTTGGATGGGATCTGGAGACAGATGGACAGCGCTCCCCACCAGCCCCCTAAACCAGCCTCTACCCAACCACACACACACACACACACACATACACACACCCAGACACCCACACACACACACTTGGAGCTCCCGGGAAGAAGTCACACTTCTTTAAAAACTCCGTGCCCACGTGGAGCCTTCCAGGAAAGTAATGGAGTTCTCAGCCCCCTCTCACTTAGCATTCTCAAAGTACCAGACGTGGGAACCCTTCCTAGCTTCTCATGAGTCCAACGAAAAGCTGGAGCGCAGGCCAGCCAGCCCTCAGCGCTCCAAACAGATCTGACAGAGGCATTTGTTTGGTTGGGTGGGACTAGAGTGTGGGGTGGGTGGGGATAAGGGGCAACGGAGGTGTGAAGTGCAGACATTTTTGTAAGGGAAGTGGTGGAAAGGAAGCAAATGAGGGTTTCAAGGCTCTGGAAAAGGGAGTCAAGAGGAGGAGGACAGGGGAAAGGAACGGGCCTAGAGAAATAGAAGAGATAACAGGAAGAACACGCTTCTGGGCATGGGCTGAAACCCACCTGCTTCAGAGACTTGGCTTATTCCACAAATGAGTGAAGTGAGCCAGTTGCCAAAAAATAAGCAGTTGAGGGAACTGAGGCAAAATACCGAGCATGTGGAAGCCTCCGTGGGTTCCAGCCAACTGTGGCCACTGCAAAAGGGCGTCCACTGATGTGATCTGATTTTTCAAGGAAAGCCAGAAATCCGGGATTTTTTTTTTAATGAAATCTCTTAAATCAGGGAAACTAGTTCATTCATATACATACACACACACACGCATGTGACATGTATATGCTTTAAAACTACAAGGAGTAGTTTTAAATGGGGATGCTGTCCATCTGTCTCCAGATCCCATCCAACCTTTTAGAACTATAAGGACTGTATATATCAATTCTTTTTAATAAGCACCGCCATAAAAATGAAATCGGTCCAGATTTGGCCTATCATAAAATACTTGGCAAGTTTTCTTAGGACCTACACTTTGAAAACACCCTTCCCTGGGAAGCATGAACGAGAGAAAAACAATGACGCCTCAAATACGGCAGAGCGCACAAGGTGCCCAGGCCACGGTACCAACCTGTATCTACATCACACACCAAAACGCTCTGTACCCACAGAACCCACAGACCCCTTTGCTCGTATCTGACTATGAGGAAGAGGAAGAGGAGGCAGCAGTAAAGCTAATGGAGGGAGGCCAGGGGAAGCTGAGGTTTGCGTACATATGTGCATGTATATACACATTGTCGAGGAGAAGTGGCAGGAGCTATGGATGGTGCAAGCCTGGACCAGTCGGTGGCTGGACAGAGTCGGGGACAGGTGCCCCCGATGTTCTGGCCCCAACTAATTTGGGAAACAGTCTCACACTGGATGGCTCGAAGGCGAGGGATGATGGTGGGGCTTGCAGGCGGGCTGGAACGGCTGCTGCTGAGGCTCTTCCTTTTATCCATGGTGGGGGAGGCCTGGACCGTGAACTTGTGCTGGAAATCTGCTTGGAGAAAGATAAACACACGTGCATTAGAATATTCCCACAACCCAGTTCCTCCTAGAAAACACACACTTCCTGGCAGGCTTGAGGGACAGGCCCGTTTCCTAAGAAACTCCTTGTTCACCTGGGAAACGTTCTCTTTCAGAATCATCTCTTTTCCCCAAAAAAGATGGCAGGATGGCAGGATGAACATACAAGGAGAAGGAAAATTCCTTATCCCAGTGGAAGTCATGAGACAGTTTTCATAAATGGATACAGGTGTGGCAATTACATATTTAGAATAGTCCTTTTTAGATCCTGAGAGTTGGTGATTATCCTAGGAAGTCTAACTTTAAATTCTCGATTTCATATAATCTATTAGTGCACACCCGTCTTCTCAGGGACCCCAGCAGGCAGACTAATGCTTCTCACCAAGTGCAGGCAGAGCAGGGGAATAAGAACGAACCCTTGGTGGGAACCTAGGGAAGTGAGGGCCATGGAGCTAATGGTCCGAATTCTGATGCATTTCAAAGGCAGTTACGGCTTGGCCTCAGCCATGAAAAGCGTACAGCTCTGAATTTCTGACTGTTACTCTCCTCATCAACCAAAGAGGTATAATAATCCCAGCTGCACGCTGACACCTAAGTCTGCCCCCTGGACTGTGACCTCCCTGAGGTGGGAGCGATCGCGAGTCTCTGCTTCCCCGGCATGCAGCAGTCTGCGGGCACATGCTAGGCTCAGAGGTGCTTAGGGACCGTGTTGCCTGAAGAGAAAACAAATGCACAACAAGGAAACCAGTAGGCAGGTCCCATGAACACATTCACTGGCTTTTACTAAACGAATTTCCTTGTCTCTGCTTACACCACCATCCTGGTGCTCCAAACCACCCACTCCTGCTCCTACTGGGCCATATTCCCCGCGTTCCCTAACTTCTAATAACTTGCTTCCTTGGGCCTTAAGGACTCGGAATACAGTGAACCTTTTCATCTACATAAACACACACTTGAGCATTCACCTCCCTCCATGGGTACAGCGCCCCCACAAGATTCTAATGCCTAGTTTCATATTTCTTTGCATTTTCCCGAGGTTGTGCATACCACAAAGGTGCCTGTACTCAGCCAATGAGTTTCTGAAAGGATATGTGTAAATCAGATTCTTATATATTAGTCCTAATCGCAACTGCACGCAGTGAACTAATTATTTAAAGCAGTGGTTCTCAACCTTCCTAATGCCACGACCCTTTAATACAGTTCCTCATGTTGTGGTGACCCCCAACCATAAAATTATTTTCATTGCTACTTCATAACTAATTTTGCTACTGTTATGAATCGTAATGTACATATCTGATATGCAGGATGTATTTTCATTGTTACAAATTGAACATAATTAAAGCATAGTGATTAATCACAAAAACAATATGTAATTATATATGTGTTTTCCGATGGTCTTAAGCGACCCCTGTGAAAGGGTGGTTCGACCCCCAAAGGGGTCGCGACCCACAGGTTGAGAACCGCTGATTTAAAGGAACCCTGAGATGAGACAAGAGTTCTTTTTCTCACACATACATGCTCTGGAATCTCTCTTCCCCACAATGACACGCTTCCTTCGCCAGATGTGCCTAAGGTAGGATGTGCTTACATGAGTGACCATGCTTCTAGCAGCCGGACCGGGCTTGCCCGTCAGGACCACCGCCAGTGTGTCTTCCCTTCATATTCTGTGTTTAGTCACCCTCACAAAGTCCCTTTTCAGCAGGCCAGTCCAACCAGTGAACGGAATGGCCCATTCCAGGCCGGCTCCATGCTGAGACTCAGGTGCCATGTGTCCAGCTCAGCCCCTGGCTCCCGCCCATCCCTGGCCACCCCAGCCCCTCGCCCAGTGCCCAAGTCCCAGTGGGTCCCCGGCCACTAACCCGAAGGGAGGCTGATGCGGTTCCCGTCCTTGAGCTTCAGCCGGTTCTTGCGGAACTTGCCCTTGCGTTTCTTCACCCGCGGCTTCTCCTGGCACAGCTGGTGGATGATGATGTTGAGCTCGCGTCCCAGGATGTCGATCTCCCGCTCGGCCAGCTCCTGCTCGCGGCGTCGCAGCAGCTCCTCCTGGTTCTTCTGCTGCAGCGCTGCCCGCGTCAGCTCCTCCTCCCAGGTGCGGAGCTCCTGGGGGCGGCAGGACCCAGAACCATGAGTAGGAGTGGGTGTCAGTGTAGAGAGGTGAGGCTTGAGGGCCCGGAGGCTGGTGCTCAGGGCTACCTGGAGAGCGCCCCTTTAACACCCCCTACATCCAGTCCCCAGCAGAGACGGCAGCACCATAGTTAGCTGGTGAACGAACACCTGCCCACCTGGATGGTGGAGAAAGCAGGCTCAGAACAGTCACACTGAGGATACAGCTAGAGGAGCCAGAGGCCAAGCCCGGACGGAGAGCTCCCAGTGGTTCCTTGATTACTGATTAAAATTGCTTATGAGTTAGGAAAAAAAATGGAGGGTTGGGTAGAAAATATAATATGTACTTATATTTTGCAGATGTGATTCTACTTTAAATTTTCCCATCACGTAAAAATGTTAGTTTTTTTTTAAACCAGAGCCAACTTAACGTGATCTACCTTAAAATGTGCCCACTATAAATGAATCACCCTGCCAGCATCACCTAAAACATTCAAATAAAGAAAACAGCCCTAGCCAGTTTGGCTCAGTGAATAGAGTGTTGGTCTGCGGACTGAAGGGTCCCAGGTTCGATTCCAGTCAGGGGCACATGCCTGGGTTGTGGGCTCAATCTCCAGTGGGGCAGGGGAGGGGTGTGCAGGAGGCAGCCAATCAATGATTCTCTCTCATCATTGATGTTTTTCTCTCTCCCTTTTCCCTTCCTCTCGGAAATCAATTTTTTAAAAAATATTTTTAAAAAACACAGATTTCCAGAGTGGCTGTTGCAGAGGTAGGGGAGGCATGCTCGCTTGGTGAGGGAGTCCGCTGAGGCATGTGGTTGGAACTCTCTTCTTATCTTTATTTTTTTTTAAATGTATCTTATTGATTTTTTACAGAGAGGAAGGGAGAGGGATAGAGAGTTAGAAACATTGATCAGCTGCCTCCTGCACACCCCATAATGGGGATGTGCCCGCAACCAAGGTACATGCCCTTGACCAGAATCGAACCTGGACCCTTCAGTCCGCAGGCCGACGCTCTATCCGCTGAGCCAAACCGGTTAGGGCTCTTCTTATTTTAAAGGACAGCCATTTGCTCTGGAAAGATGGCGACGGTGCAGCCAAGAAAAGAGAGAACATTTCCTGACATCTTTGCCAGGCACTTGCTCTAGAACCGCTGCCACATTAGGTGGGCAGAACCCCCTTTTCCTTCTGCATGAATTTATCAATGAACCCCGCACGGAGTCCTGGGAAGAGGTGGGAGACATGGAATCAGGAAATAGGAGAGAAAATAGGAAAGAGAACAAAGCATGTGTATAAAATTTTTAAATATGGAACCTAAACTTTTAACACTGGATACTCCAGGCCTAGGACTGAAGGGGGTGAGGATAAGGGGAAATTTAAGAAAGCTCTCATGTCAATAACCTAGGAGAACCATGTTTAAAGAGTGGAATGTTTCTTTAATAAAGAAGCCAGAGCAACACTTCTGTGGTCGAAACTTAAAATTCTCAATGACATGCTCCACTAGAAGGAGTCATTCTGGACAAAAACAAAATACTATAGATAAGAAACTTAGAGCTTTTTTTTAAAACAAGTATGAGAGCACATATTGGGGAAGCTGAGCAGCAGGTAGAAAGCAGAAGAGAGAACAGAGATGGGAATAAAATGTTCTGGTGGTAGGAGCTTTTTGTCTGACTAGTCTTCCATTCCCAAGAGAATATCAAAATAACCATAAAAGGAATAGAATGAGAAACGAGAAGAGGATTAGCACCTAGGAAATTGTCTGGTATATGGTAGGTGCTCAATAACTGCTGAGTCAATGAATGAATGAGTGAATGAGAAAGAAGGAGGTAGAAGACACTTTTATAAATGCAATCCTCTTTATGGAACATAGATTCATCATAAGTATCTATGAGATGAGCTTGAACTTTTGAGCTTCTACTTTGATGAAATAAGCTCCAAAGAGATCAATGGTGCACCTTCCAAATCCTTGGCTTCCCTGTCCCATGACTTAGCTTTCACCATCAGGAAAACACAAACACATGGACGAATCAGAAAAATTGTTACTGGTTGGTTGTAATAATTTACCACTTGCTGCTAAGTGGGAGCGCTGAACAGTTCAAGCTAATACCAGCCTTTCTAAGTCCTCTCTCCCGCATACTCTAGTGTAAGGGATGGTTTGAGGCTAAGCTCCTTCCTTTTAGGGAACCCCAACCCCAGTCCAGAGACCAAGCCAGGTCACAATACCTAGAAGCAGTAGGTTGAGCCAACCTGAAGAATACGCTGAATCACATAGGAAACCAAGACATTCACAGAGTACTAGCCTAGGGCACTAGATACCCGGAAGAACGTCAAACATGGTAAGTCCCCTTCTTGTGAAACACCTATGAGGAGTCAACCTCACAGTGTGCCAATCATATTGTCTACCTTCAATAATGTAAGAGGAATCACTCCAGAGACAAAGCTCATTACTCATCTTACCCTCACTCGGCCAGCTACAAGCCTTATGTGGAGAGGCATCACAGCCTGGTGGTTAAGAGCAAGGACTGAACAAACTGCCTGAATTGTGGCCTTGGGCAATTTGATAGGGGCCTCATCTGTGATAGGGAGTTAATAGCACCAACATCACAGGGTTGTATAACATAAGATAATTATTATCTCATTACGTATGATTATGTAAGAATTCAAATAAATAAATAACAGACCACAGCACATAGTACCTGCTCTATGAATGTTAGCTATTGTGAGAATGGGTTTGACTTTTCCTAGTAACTACTTATTGACAAAATCCCACTTTCATTTTTTTAATGGCTGGTACCCTTATAATTTCATTAATCAAAAGAAATAACTGAGAGTCAGCGATTAGCAATCTAGCAAAAGGCCAGCAACTCTGCAGTTTTTCTAGTTGGAACAGTTTTTTAATCATTCTGCTCAGTGGTCAGTGCAGGTCTCTCCCCCTCTCCCCCTGAGATCCTTAAAGATTCGTCATCAGCTCACTCCATTCCCCTGAAGAATGCTCGCTGACTTGTCAAACAGTACCAAGTTTAGGATTGCTCTGTTGAATAAAAAGAATTTAATCCTGTTACATCGGCTCCGGAAATGATGTTGAAGTCGTTTGTTTAGGGAACAATAATGATACCGCGAAGAGGATGATTTGGGAATCCGAAGACCCAGGTTGAAGTTTCTGGTTCCCCGCTTACCTAGACAAGTCACTGACCCTCAGTTCTGAGAAGAAAAAGATAATGACACCTGCCCTACATGCTGGTGGCAGGGGCATAAGACTCCAGGATAAAAAGGATGAGAAGGTCTTAGCAGACCTTTCAAGTGAAAGAACTGGGAAGTCATAAAGATACGTGTAATTTTAGCTGCTATTATTATCATGTTGCTTCCCAAATTCCCATGGTGGGGAGTGAGAAGGGAAAGAGAAATTAACCAAGTCTATATATAGACCTCCCTCCGGGCCCTCGCTGTAGCCCTTAGATTTAGTTCTGCCCCTGCAGTATAAAGCAACCCAGCTGCTTTGATTAACTTTACCTGTGGGGACACTGACTGCACCAAGGGCACAGAGAGGGGACATTTACGGAACGGCCACAAAACAGGAAGATGGATCTCTACCTGGTTAAGTCTCTGAACTCCCTGGTTGGTTTGGACTGTCAGCCCTTTTCACAAAAACATGAAAAATGCCAAACAATTTCAGATTCATGGTATTTTTAGCCCACATGCTATTTCTGATTCTGATACCAAAAGACACTGGCAAGGTGTTCTGATAACTGTTCTCCATGTTGAAGGATCCTTGGAATCAAGCTAACCCCTCAAAAAGTCCATTGCAGAGCCAAGAAACCTTTGGAAAACCCTTTTGCATTTTCAGCTGGCAGGTGAGACACCACGTTGGTACTTGCCCAATGGTGTGCTCCCTCAGTTTGGACAATGAAGTAGATAGGCTCAAGGAGAGCTTTGGCTCCTACTCCCCCTGCTTATTCCCGCCATATTTCCAAAAGAAGAAAAAGTCTATACCATTTCAGGTCACACCTGAGGCCTGGAGCATTCTTTCCATGCAAAGCAGAGAAGGAAAGAGCTGCCCCGTTATTGCAAACCAAGCAGGAAGCCGGTCGTGTCAGGATCTGCCCAGAGGCCCCAGCAGAGAAGGCTCACTGATCCAATGCAAGACTTTATCTTTTTTCTCTTACCTTTTCTTTGGCCCTGAGTTGGTCAAACATCTCCTGAATCTCATGTTTCCAGTCATCCTGCAGGCAGTGGAAGGAGTCCTTGGGCATTTCAAAGAAACCAGACTCCTCTATGGTAGTTAGCTGGTCCAGGATATTTGTGAAGGGTGGTCGTGAATGGGGGTCGGGATTCCAGCAATCTTCACGGAGGACATGAGCAGACAAAAAGCATGAATGGATAGAGGCAAATGTTAGACTTAGGATATGATGACCTCACTTACCAGACAACTACCTCTCATTTCTCCTTTCAGAAACAGAGACTGGGATTTAGGTCCACAAACAGGGCTTAGGAAGTAGAGCCAGGTGCCTAGCATCACAATCAAAGAGGGTGAACTTGGAAAGAAAATGCTGCACTTGTGCACCCATCCAATGATGACTATTAATTCAGCACAAGAAAGGCAAGTCCAAAGAGTTCCCTTGTGTGAAGTACACTACCACACTTGATCCAGTTACTCACGATTCCAGTCCTACAGTGGGTAACTACACCTTGGGCCTCAATTTTCCAAAAACCAATGCCCCACCTCAATGGGCAATTGAGAAGGCAAGGATCAACAGCACTGGAGTGGGAGTCAGGAAAAATGAATTCTTTCTACTTGCAGCTCAGCTCTTACTAATGGAGTGGCCACCCATCCACTTAGCTTTTCTCAGCTTTGGATTTCTCACAAAATTGTAGGATTTGACTAGATGACTTTGAGAGTTCCTTTCTTCTCAGGTGCTCTTTATTTCTACATGTAAGACACGCAGAGGTCCTAAAATAAAAGCTGCTATACCTTCTTCATTTGAGTTAATAATATAATGAAGAACTGGATAGCAGGCTTTAGTTACTAAATTAAGATCTACAGTCACTGGAGAAGGACAGAAGGGACAGCTCTGACATCAACTATCAGGGTGCTAATATCATCTTGAAGTAGCTCTTCCAACCACCCATAGGATTCCTCCTTGAGTGACTAACACTTCATCTCCTCTTTCAGTACCTGATCCTGCAGAATTGGCCAAAATCTATCAAGTGCTGATAGGAAGGTGAACCGTCTCCAGTTTTGTCCTGGCCAGGGATCACTTACCTTCCATGAGTTTGGCAAAAGGTTCTGGGCACGTAGAAGGGATGGGGAGGGCGAGTTTGTTCATGGCCACTCCATAAGCGACTGCCAGGCCATCGATCCCTCGGAAGGGCACCTCACCAGTCAGTAGCTCCCAAAGCAGCACCCCGTAGCTAGGGAGGAGAAGAAGACGTGATGACCACGGGTGCAACTGCACTGAAGTAGCTCATTCATGCGTGTTTGCTGAGCATGCCGCGTTCTCTCCAGCACGTAGGGAGACGAACAAAACGGACATAGTAACGTAATATGAAAGGGGGACCATAAGGCCTTCTGGCGGGAAGCAAAAACTCTGGAGTCAAGCACACTTGGTTTCAAAGTCTGCTCCTCAAATTCCTCACCTGTAAAGGGCAAATAACACTAGCAGTCTCTCAAGAGTCACGATATTAAATGAGCTCCTCTAGTGTTTAAATCAGTGCTCAAGGGCCATAGCTATTTTGTTGTTGTTATTGTTAGTGTAATAAACTGGGAGAAGGGGCAGCCTCCCCAAAATACCTGTTTTTCTGTTTTAAAAAAATTTCGGCTTTAGTCACAAATATAAATATATATAATATATATTTTTTAGCTTTGGAAACACAGAAAGCTGACCACTCCAAACAAACAGATTTTCCCCCCTAAAATCTTTAAAAAGGTTTCTTTAATGCCCACTAGGTTGAATAGATTCCTGCCCTCATCAGTGTGAGCCCTTAATGGACACTGCTAATTCAAAGGGGATGTTTCGCCAGGGTGGCCTGCAACAGCGGAGCACGGCAGATCACCAGCTGTGAGGACGTCAGAGCTCCCTCCCTACCTTGCAAGTCTACATGAAGAATTTCTTTTCACAGGTCCTGGAAGTCAAAGAATGAGGAGCACAGAGCTTAGCGGAATAACTATTCTACGAGTTCACAATCAGAACTAGACAAAATACAGGGTGTTTAATCCTTCCAGGAATGAGTCAGGACAAGAAAACGTAAGACCATGAACGGTTGGAATAGTGGCTCTTTTTATATTTTCAACACAAACCTCAAATTTTTTAATATTCATCAGTAGTTTACAAACAACAAAAAGTCGTACTAATTTTTTTAAAAAAAGAAAGAAAGAACGAACCCAGTATCTATTTTATCGTGGTACCTTGCATGTGCAGGGTGCTATGCCATTTATAAACACCATCTTGAATCCCTACAACAAACCTGCAAGGTAAGTTTCATCATCATTTTGCAGATGAGGAAAGCAAGCTCTAGAAAGGTTGGGCAGCATATATTAAGGGCATATAGGTACATGAAGTAAGTCATGGTGGACCCTGCACCACCTTTCCATTCTTTCTCTCTAGAATGCCCTTCTACCATGTCTCTGCCTGGTAAACTCTAATAGTCTTTCAAGATCTGATTCAAATGCACCACCATTTATTAATTCATTTTAAACATCTGCTAAATCTTTATTATGCATCAAGTTCAATGCCACACACTAGGATACAGGATAAAAGATACAGATCATGCCCTGGCTGGTGTGGCTCAGTTGGTTAAGCTGAAAGGTCTTGGGTTTGATTCCCGGTCAGGGCACACACTCAGGTTGCAGGTTCAGATCCCCAGATAGGGTGAGTATGGGAGGCAACCGGTCAATGTTTCTTCTCTCTCACATCAATTTTTTTCTCTCTCTCCCTCTCCCTTCAATAAAAACATATCCTCGGGTAAGGATTAAAAAAAAAAAAAAAGATACAGATCTTATCCATGAAGAGATTAATGAGAGGGACAGAAAGACCTTCAATTAGAATATGGAGAAATGAGTCACAACAGAGATACTATGAGAGCACAAAGGAGGGTCACCCAAACCAGACCAGGATGGGATGGGAGATTGCTAAACCTTGAATGCTGAGTGAAGGAAGAGTTAGTGCTCCAGAGACAGGGATCAGCACGTACAAGCACATGAACTTGTCATGAACTTGTCTTTAAAGAAGCCCAAGTGGCCTGGCATGGCCCCAAAGAGCAACAATGTGCCAACCCATGAGCCAGGGCAGCCAGGGGGTCCCTACAGATGGACCCTCAGAGCGGCCTGGCCAGTTTCCTAAGACAATGGCTTTACCCCAGTGACCCCTCCAAACACCTGATATATCTTGACAGGAAAAAGCCTGGTAGACAGTTCCAAAGTCTTGTCTGGACAAGGTGCTGGGTTTTAGACTGAGGCTGATGGGAACAATGGGACACGTTAGGAAGCCTTGCCTAACACCTCCAGGTGTTACGCAGCCTTTGTTTGGGCTGCCACATACTGTAGTTGTTTGTTCACCAGCCTATGGGCTCCTAGAGGGCAGGGATAGTAGTGTTTAATCTGCGTTCTCAGGGCCTGGCTCAGGCTCTGGTACATAGTAGGCACTCATTTAGTGAGTGAGTTGGTGGAGAGGTGTGGGAGTGAGTGCCTGGTGAGATGGTCCTGCAGGGTGCACAGGGTAACCCTGAGTAAGGCCTGAAAACCACCAAGAACTGCACTGTTATACTTCCTACCAGTCCTTTAATGTGGCCCCCAGACAGAGCTCATGCTGGGCAGCTTTTACCACATACTCTCAGCACTGCTGACTGTATTCCTAGGTTAGAGCGACTTTCCTCTTGCCTGCCCTTGGCATTACTGCCCACCTCCACCCCGAGGAAGGAACACCCACGGTCCCAAAGAACTTCTTTCTCCCATCCAGGCAAAGACAAATGGTGTCTGAACCCTAACCACCTGGAAAGACAGTAGAGTTTCAAAGATCCAAACATGCATCCCCTTTGTGTCCTAGCATCCCCCGTGTGACGGTTCTCGCGCGGAGCCCTAGGTGACCCATGGAGAAGTCTCAGGCCACCTGGAAAAGGGAGGAGCCAGGCACCTCTCGGCTGCAACAAGAGCAGCTCTGCTCATACCTGGCCGGCTTCTTTGGGCATCAGCATTCCATTCCATTTGAAGGGCTCTACAACTAAGTGAAATGGGAGGACTACTCCCCAAGAAAGATCGAGACAGACTTCAGTCAAATGCCTGCTTTACCACTTACCAGCCATGTGACCTTGGAAAAGCAAGTTCATGGCTCCAGACCTGTTCCCTCATCTGTACAAAGACGGCCTCCCCTACACCTCGCAGAGCAGAGAATAACATTGCTCCTCATCCAGAAGTCACCACCCGTGGCCAGCAAACATCGGTGCTGCCCTTGGAGAGGGCCTGACGTGACAGTGGCTGGTGGGAGCTGGGGAGAGCCCTCCGTGTGTGGGGAGGGCCTTGTTGGAGGACACCTGCCTCTGGAAGAAGCCTTTCCGGGATGACTCAACCAGTCCGAGTTTCCCTCTGCCAATGTTCCTGTTTATTTTTGTAACAGAAGGTGGGTGATATAAAGGAAGTCTTAGTGTTCCTTTCACAGCAATAGAGTCCAAGAAAGAAACTGGAGAAATACACATTAGTTGGGTCTGAGCCCCAGAGAGAGGTGGGCAGAAGCCCACTGATTTACCTCAAGTTTAGTTTAATTTGTTGCCCTCCTGGGATTGACAGGGAAGGTCAAGAGATCCTTCCAAGACCATTTACAAGCAGCCTGGAAGCACCCACTGAAACACTGCCTGGGACTCCCTCCCGCACAGAGAACCGCCAGCTCCCACAGTGCTGCCCTCAGGGAACTCACCCGATGTCAGATGTCATTAATTAGCCACCTCCAGAGGTGTGGTAACCTTCCCCCGTTGGGTATGGTCAAAGGTGGGGGAGGGGTGTTTTATTTTTTTCAACTTGAAGAAAAGCATCGGAGTGGATAGCAATCCTTCCCGACCAAAGGCACAGCAATTCCGCACCTGAACTGGACCAGGACTGTTTTTCTTCTTAACCTGTGTTGTCTCTAAGTTAGAGCTAACCTGTTTATTAGGGATAACTGTCAACTCAGGGGTCCATGCCCTAAAGGGAGAGGTGCCCCCTGAATGGGCTCTTGCACTTGGTAATCAGCTGTGACCCCACATTCAGGAACCTCACTGACTGTTCGCTAATCTTTGGCAAAAACAACTGAACTTAAAATATGTGAAAACACTTTGTAAATTGTAAAGTAGCATACAATTCTTCTTGTTGTTAGCTGGATCCTCATTCAAAATGATGACATATTTACTAACATATTTATGTAACATATACATTGGTATTTTTATTGGCAATACATACTTCTTGATATGCTCATGCAATATTATATTTAAAAAGTAGCTTAAAAAACAGAATGACCCTATTTTAAGGGATGGGTGGATGAGCATGTAAACAGGAATGAGTACACCAAAATATTAATATAGGTTATCTTTGGAAGTAAGTTGTGGGTGATTTTCTTTTTCTTTTTTCTTTGTTTATCCATATTTTCTAACTTTTTCTATAGTGAACACGTTTTACTACTGTAACTTTAGAAACTTACAATGATCAATAAAATACCTCCATTTCATCCCACACATGAGATAAACGATGTACGGCATTCAGTATAGAGCCTGGCCTGTAAGCATTCGTAGGCGGTAAATACTGCTACCCATGTATGTGTGCTGTATGAATAGCAATGGGCACATGTTTTCTTCTGGTAAAGATGCAAGATCATTTGGAGCCACTTAGATGAGCAGGCTTGAAGAGAAAGAGATAAAAGGCTCATTTAATGGGTTCAATAGATGGTGTCCTAGAAAGAAATACTGAAGCATGGAAGCTAAGGAAGCTAGAAAGAAATAGGGTGAATTATGTTTTCAAACCACATTCATCAACCACGCTGAGTCAGGAGGCTTGAGCCCCGGGAACAGTCCTAATCCAGAGAGCCACTGGCAGAGCAGACCATGAGACAAATTCCAAGACACCTCATCCAAAGTGCAGTTGATTTGAAGTTTACCTCCCAGCTACTCCCTTCAGGTAGTAGAATAACATCAGATGCCTCTCAGCAGAGGCTCCTCAAGCCTGCTTTCAGGATGTGTGCTTTCAGGGCAAAACCTGGAGCTTAGTCTTGGAACAAGGACACTTTGGGTAAAAGCTGAAAGGTTCTGCCTTGTTCCTTCCCTGATGGACAGAGCCCTGCAATGGCCTTGCCCTTCCTTGCCTGGATTTCTATCACTATGAGAAGATCTGACATTAGGCATTTGGGTTTGCTCTTCCCGTTAAGAATGTACCTGGTATCCAGAGGCAACTCTGCCCAAATCATTGCAGCAACAGAAATCTTGGGAATGTGACAATTAATCCTGAGTGATTTGGGGGCCAGGCTGGGAGAAGAGGCTAGCAGGAATGTAGAAAGTAGAAAACAATCATGCTACAAGTTGAGAAGTCCTGTTGTCCCATGAAGAACGTTAAGATGAAGTTGAGTGTGGCAAGTGGTTGATTGTCCCTCGGAATCCATTCTCTCCTTCTTCCATAATAAGAGTGTTAGCTGGGCACATGGTTGTCCAGCCTACATCTGTCTGCCTCCCTTGGAGCCAGGTGTGCATAGAGCAGGCAATAAGGTGTGCACAGAGGAGATGTGCACACTTCTGGGTCATCTCCAAATGAAAGACAAACTGCTTGCCATGGATAAGCTCTCGTTCCCCTTCTCTACAGACTGTAATGCAGAAGCAACAGTCAACTCAGATGTAACCATTCAGGCAAGAACAATGCACTGAGAGACCTGAAAGAACCTGGGTTCCTGAATGATCTCATAGGGCACACCAGTCTGGACTAACTGGACTACTCCTTAAAAGAAATACACTTCTAGCAGCACAATTTACAACAGCTAAGATTTGGAAACAGCCTAAGTGCCCATCAGCAGATGAATGGATTAAAAAACTGTGGTACATCTACACAATGGAATACTACGCTGCTGTATAAAAGAAAGAACTCTTACCATTTGCAACAGCATGGAGAGCATTATGCTAAGTGAAATAAGCCAGTCAGAGAAAGATAAATATCTTGGCGGTTCCTCAAAAAGTTAAACATAGAATTACCACGTGACTCAGCAATTTTGCTCCTCAGTATATACCCAAGAGAACTGATAACATATATGTTCACACAAAAACTTGTACACAGATGTCCATAGCAGCACTGAGCCAAAAAGTGGAAACAACCCAAATGTCCATCAACTGATGAACAATGGATAAACAAATTGTGGTATATCCATAAATGGAATATTATTCAGCTATAAAAGGAATGAAGTTCTGACGCATGCTAACACATGGATACACCTTGAAAACATTATGCTAAATGAAAGACGCCAGTCACAAAAGACCATATATGATATGATTCCATTTGTATGAAATGTCTGGAATAGCCCCCTAAAGACAGAAAGTAAGTTCGTGGGTGCCAGGGCAGATTAGGAAATGACTGCTAAGGGGTATCAGGTTTCTTTTTTGGGTAATAAAAATATTCTGAAAATAGATAGTGGTTATAGTAGGTTGAATGGTGGCCCTAAAAAGTTATGTCCATGTCTTCATACCCAAAAGCCTTATTTGGAACAGAATCTCCCCTAGAGTCTCTGAAGGGGGTGTGGCCCTAGGGCCACTAACTGTAGACTTCTGGTCCCCAAACTATAAATTTCTATGGTTTTAAGACACCAGGTTTGTGGTAACTTGTTATAGCGGCCCTAGGAAACTAATAACAAGGGTGACTGGTATAACACTTTGTAAATTTACTAAAAACCACTGTCATACTTTTTAAAGGGTAAATGTGACTATCTCAATAACGCTGTTATTAAAAATACACACACATACATACAAACACATAAGCTCACTTTACAACACATCAGGAAGCAACGACTTCACAGACTGAGGCACAACGATAACCTATAGTCCTTTCTTTTGCGTACCAAGGTGATGCCCAGTCTCACGGCCACGGGCTGCATGCTCTGTAGATGCTCCTCCTCTTTTCCTCCCATCAGTGGGGACAAGAGTTTTAGATCCATATGTTCACACAAAAACTTGTATTCCTCTTAAAAGGAATACAAAAGTGACCTCGTGGGCTGATATTTATTAGGCAGATGGCTGGTCCAATCTGTGACTATGCATTTCTGGGCACATGCTTGGACTTCTTTTCCTACTCCTCTCTCCACATTCAACAGATAGACTAAAAAGGTTAACCGGATAACTGGAAAGGATAATTTCCAGCCACCAGAAAAAAGAGACAGCACAGTGAATACTTATCGTCCCAGGAGCTTATAGTGGGGACAAGTCCAGCAGTAGGAGCACTGTCGCTAAGCAAGCCAGGGTGACCCTGGTGAAGGTCTCCAGGAGTGACGGAGTGCCCTCACCCCCTACAGTCAGCGACGGGAGTGCACACTGCCCCTGATCTTCCCTAGGGAGCACTCACCGACAGAGAGGGGCCTGCATAGATGTGCACTTGCCACAGCACTGGAGGGACTTCTGGCAGATGAAGGCATTGGAAACTGTCCCCTGGCAACTCGGGAATTGGTGTAGATTGCTCTGAAGGGGTCACTTAGACCTACTTGGGGTTCCTGGGAGTCTATGCAACCTCAGTTCTCCAAGCCCCAAAGCGTGTGTGCAGCCAACACAGACCCGGGGGACACTGACCTTGCACCCTTGCGCCTTACCTCCACACATCGCTGCCTTTGGAAAACATGGAGGCACGAATGACTTCGGGGGCCATCCAAGCATATGTCCCTGCCGCGCTCATCTTGGTGGTCCGGTGCCATTCCCGAGCCAGGCCGAAGTCAGTGATCTTCAGAATCTTGTTGCTCAGGTCTCCATTCTCCACCTTCTGGAGGATCAATACTGGGCCAGGAAAGGAATACAAAGAAACCAGAGAGTCTGCATTAGTCACAGGGCAACCACCAAATGCAGAGCCCTCGGGGACCCACTGTCCTCTCCTGTGCAGGCTCCATCATGCAGCTACCATGGACTGACTGATGGTCGGAGCCAGCACTCCTACGAGGCAGCATTTTTATGCCACGTCTTTTATCAGCATTATCTCCAAACCACACATGGCCTTATGAGGTGGGTACTACTGCCATCTCTGTTTCACAGAGGAAACTGAGGTGAGGAAACTGAACTATGGCACCATTAAATTTTCCAAGGCCACCCACCAAATAAGCTAGGACTGAAACTCAGGCAGCCTGACTCAAGAGCCTTCTCTCTTAACCTTATAACGCACGCCCATTCACCCCCTAGGGAAGGAGCTGAGGTCACAGCTGACCCCTCTGAGGAGGGGATACCTGGGCTTTCTGATGGCCAGAGCACCGCTGGGCTATCGCCTAAACTTCATGGTACATGAATAATATCTAAATAACACTATCATTGAAAATACACACACATACTAGTACATACAAACACATAAGCTCACTTTACAACACATCAGGAAGCAACGGCTTCACAGACTGAGGTACAAGGATAACCCAGAGTCCTTTCTCAGCCCACAAGGAATGGAGGTGCACGTTGGATCTCCAAGGTTTCGTGTCTGGACAGTCTCCATGAACCAATTCAAAGTACTTTACTTAAGCTCATAGGAAACACATTTTGGGACACAGAGACTTCCCCTTATTCCAGGAACTCACCCCCTCCCCATTGGGAAGTGGCTGACAGGGTCAGAGGGTACACACGCGTTCACACCCATGATGTTCTCTATGAACATGGCCAGGAAGGAAGAACTGGTGGCTGAACTGGTTATACTGGGCCGTCTCCCAAGCTCTAACACCAAAGCATCGTGGTATGGGAGCCATCCTGGCGTTCCTCGGTAGCAGCTGAGGCAGCCACCTCACGCACAGGATGGTTCAGCGATAAGTGTGCCCTGTGGGAGCCAATCTCCCCCGAAAGAGCAACAACGCTAATTGACTGCAGTGCTGTAAGCTAAGCCAAGGAACTCTGCCAGAGGGGGCAGCGAGTGAATGCCTTGGATCTGTGGAGGGCAAGCCTCCATTTTCCAAGTGGGATGGTTCCGCAGGACCGGAGCAAACACAACCGCTCGGGGGCCAGACACTGACCACGTGGAATTAAGAGTTTTGAAGACAGGATTCCAGGGAAGGAGGAAGGCTTCCCTGCCACTCGGGGTGGGGAAGTGTAGGGCAAGGGCCTTAGGCAGGTCCTGCAGGCAAACAACTGTACTTTTCCTGCCATGCCACCCACCCCCAGCCAATGTCCAACTGTGACCACATGGAAAGGATGGGGACCAACGATCTCCAAGCCCTATGTGGTTCTCAGAAAATCATCAGTAAAGAGGGTTCACAAGCAGCCACGGAGCTGGAGGCACAAAAGAAAACCGTGCCAGCCACTCCCTGAACCTAATGGACTAAGTCTCCTTCCTCCACACCCTCTCCCCTGACATGGCCCTCCCCACTCCCTGCTTCCAGCAGCCTGAAAGGGTCCGGGCCTCTGAGTGCTGGGCAGATAAAAAACAGAAAACAAAAAAACCTTTCTTCATGTCATCTACTAAAAATCTTTCCAGGCCCTAGCCGGTTTGGCTCAGTGGATAGAGCGTCGGCCTGCGGACTGAAGGGTCCCAGGTCGATTCCGGTCAAGGGCATGTACCTTGGTTGCAGGCACATCCCCAGTGGGGGGCGTGCAGGAGGCAGCTGATCGATGTTTCTCTCTCATCGATGTTTCTTAACTCTCTATCCCTCTCCCTTCCTCTCTGTAAAAAATCAATAAAATATATATTTTTAAAAAATCTTTCCAGGTTCTTCTATGCCCCTCTCTCTCTCTCCTTGGACAGAGATAGCGGACGAATGTGCACTCAGGTTGCGGACACTAAAGGAAGTGACAGTACAGAAGCCCACTGAACCTCCAAAGAGGGGCCACCAGCTGCTGGCCGTTTCTCCAGAGTCATCCTTAAATCAAAGGTTCAGAGAGAACCCCCCCTTTTCATAGGCAACGGGGTTTAGTCCTGTTACCCCAAATCTCCAGGTGGCTGGCCCAAGGCACAGCGGGAGGAGGGTAAGAGTTTCATGGTACATGACCAGCCAGTGTGGCTCAGTGGTTGAACATCAACCTATGAAGCAGGAGGTCAAGGTTTGATTCCTGGTCAGGGCACATGCCAAGGTTGCAGGCTCCATCCCCAACTGGGGGTATGCAGGAGGCAGCTGATCCATGATTCTCTATCATGATTGATGTTTCTCTCTCTCTGCCCCTCTCCCTTCCTCTCTGAATTCAATAAAAATATTTTTTTTAAAAAGAGTTTCACAGTACATATGCACATGGAACCAGCTAAACGTCCTCATACTCTATGCTGGAAGGGGAAGCAGAGAAGTTTGGGTTCTGTTACAGGAAAAGGATTTTTAGCCACTGAATGGCATACTGAAGACGACGTTTAAAACAGACTCGTCTGTCCGTTGGTTTGAGAGGGATGGCAGAATGATGGAGATGGGCAAGAATCAGCCCGAATAGACGGTCTGCATCTGAATGCCTACAGATAGTGCAGGTCCAGCCCCATTCCACCTAACCCCCACTGCTCCCTGCTGCCTCACACCCAGCTGACCTCAAATATTTATCCCAACAGGTTGGGCCCTGAAGGCATCTGAGTTAGAAATCCCTGGTGTCCTGCCCTCAGCCACAAGAAGTGTAATTAGAAGCCAGTTAATAAACCTGGCAGATGGTTACAGGCAAGGATTCTCACAGTGTCCTGATATACTGGTATCAACAAGTCTCTATTACTAGTAATAATTATGGTTACAAAGTTTGTAAAAGCTTTACCTTTTTCTGTAGTTTTAAAAAAATTGAAATGAAATTCACATAACATAAAATTAAAACTTTTAACGTGAACAATGCAATGGTACTTAGTACATTCACAATGTTGTACAACTACCACGTCTATCTAGTTCCAAAATATTTTCATCACTCTTCCAAGGAAACCCCATACTTACTAAGAAATTGTTTCCCATTCCCCCCTCCTCCTAGCCCAGTAATGGCGAACCTATGACACGTGTGTCAGATGTGACACGCAAACTCATTTTTTTGGTTGATTTTTCTTTGTTAAATGGCATTTAAATATATAAAATAAATATCAAAAATATAAGTCTTTGTTTTACTATGGTTGCAAATATCAAAAACTTTCTATATGTGACACGGCACCAGAGTTAAGTTAGGGTTTTTCAAAATGCTGACACGCCGAGCTCAAAAGGTTCCCCATCACTGTCCTAGCCCCTGGCAACCACCAATCTGCTTTCTATCTCTGTGGATTTACCTATTCTGAATACTTCACATAAATGGAGTTCTATAATATGTGGCACATATGGTTACTGCACTTAGCATGTTTTCAAGGTTCATCCACATTACAGCTTGTGTCAGTGCTTCATTCCTTTTATGGCTGAATAATATTCCATTGTATGGATATACCACAATGGAATATTATCCATCTGTCCATTAATAGGCATTGGAGTTGTTTCTATCTTTTGATGATTGTGAATAGTGCTATAAACATGTGTGTACATATATTTTTTGAGTACCTGTTTTTAATACTTTGGGGTATATACCTAGGGGTAGAATTACTAGATTATATATAACTACAGGCCCAGTGCACAAAATTCTGCACTTCGGGGGAGGGGTCCCTCAGCCTGGATTGCGAGAGGGCACAGGCCAGGCTGAGGAACCCTGCCAGTTCATGATCAGGGCTGAGGAGGGACACAGGAGGTTGGCCACCAGGGAGGGATTGCAGGACGGGTCCAGGGTGTATCCAGCCCATCTCGCTCAGTCCCGATCGGCCAGACCCCAGCAGCAAGCTAACCTACCAGTCGGAGCGTCTGCCCCCTGGTGGTCAGTGCACGTCATAGTGACTGGTTGACCGGTTGACTGTCTGCCCCCTGGTGGTCAGTGCACATCATAGCGAGCAGTTGAGCAGCCTTAGCATATCATTAGCATATTACGTTTTGATTGGTTGAATGGCCAACCAGATGACTGGACACTTAGCATATTAGGCTTTTATTAGATAGGATTCTATGTTAAACTTTTTGAGGAGTACCTGTGCATCATTCACAGACTCCTCACTGCCCCATCCTATTGTAGCTGGGTGCTGGGGGCGTCTTCCCGGTGTTACCTATCCCTGGGGAACTAAGGAGAGCCAAGTGTATAGCAGGGAGGATAATGACACTGGGGAAAGAGGAACACCTCAGCCAGGTTCACTAGTGACTAACACGTCCAGCTGGTGCTGGTGGGGGACACAGGAAAGATAAGCTAGTCTTCCTTATCTTTCAAGGACCTCCCAAAAGCTGCACGGAAAGATACATGAAAAAACTGAACATCAGGTCAGGACAAAGCGTACACCAATAAGGGCTCAGGTTTTGCTACAGTCTCTAAGATAATCATAGTTTTCCAAACCTCAGTAACTCAAGAACATTACCTATATACCATTTACTTAATATTTTTATTTTATCTTTTTTTAAAATATATTTTTATTGATTTCAGAGAGGAAGGGAGAGGGAGACATAGATAGAAACATCAATGATGAGAGAGAATCACTGATTGGCTGCCTCCTGCACCCCCCCCCCACTGGGGATCAAGCCCGAAACCTGGGCATATGGCCCTGATCAGGAATCGAACCGGTGACCTCTTCGTTCCTGGGTCAACGCTCAAACGCTGAGCTACACCCGGCTGGGCTTATCTTATTTTTTAAAATTGATTTCAGAGAGGAAGTGAGAGGGAGAGAGAAATAGAAACATCAATGATGAAAGAGAATCATTGATTGGTTGCCTTCTGCACGCCCCCTACTGGGGATCAAGCCCGAAATCCGGGCATGTGCCCTTGATCGGAATCAAACCTGGGACCCTTCAGTCCACAGACCGAGGCTC